TCACTTCCTCACATTTCTAACATCGTCAAAAACATTACAATTTGTTGCTCTCTTCTAACCGCTGCGAAAACGTTTTTGAGCATTTACTAGTTACTAATAGTCCTCTAGTGGCGTATCCAATTAAAATGCAGGATTTGCATTAGTCCACTAGTTGGGTGATACTAATGACTCATCATAACCCATGATGGCTAGGCCAATGAAAACTCTCGAATTCCATTTTACAATGATTCAGTTTTTAATAAAGGTTGATATGAAATAGTGATCTTTGATTTCGTGACGTTACAGAGCCAGATTAAATGAGCTTTTTGCCAATGAACTGAATTAGGCTCAAGTCTGCATTTAATAGACGCAAACTTTAAAACACCACCTAAATTCAGTTTTAGATCCCATGTAAACTTGACACAAAATACAACAACAACTTTGAATAGCTTTCATGATAGCGGGTCACTATAGGGGAGGGTCACATCTTTCGACAAAAATATAAAGGGAGGGCCTGGGGATTTTACATTCGTTTCCAAAAATTCTGAGCTAATAATATGCCATTTTTACGAGCACAATCGACCAAGTTTCACGATCCTTGCGTGTGCCCATCAAAAGATAATTGCCTTCTTATCTATCAACGTTATCGCTAGTACTGAAAATGTCACATAGTCATGCAGAAGGGACCATGGATCAAAGGTGTTCCATACTGACATTATCTTTTTATTTATAATATAGATAGGAACCTGTGCGCGCTCTGATTGGTCAAAAACCTATGTTCTATCAGAGTATAAAATATAGTTAAATCGTGTTTTATTGTTTTTCGCCACATTACCTCTATATCATAAAGCAAATGAAGAAGCCTAAGCCGTGTATTACACTGTGATAAAACTCTCCGGACATTTGAGAACACCCGAGGAATGTAGAAAACACTCGCCTTCGGCTCGTGTTTTCTTCAATTCCTTCGTGTTCTCAAATGCCCATCGTGTTTTATCACATTGTAATACACGGCTTAGGCTTCTTTATTTGTTAAATATAAAGCTCTGAACAGTTACCTTAATCGAAATGATATTAATTTTATAAAGAGTTTATTCTCAGGAAGATAGCTTAATTCTTGGAGGTTTTAGTCATGCTTTTAAACAAAAACTAGTGCCAGGACAAACGTATTTCTACCTTTTTATTTAAACATATTTCTTATATCTCTACCTAATACTTAGCCAAGGTCAATTTTTCAAATTTTAACTTTTTTTCAGTCAACTTTGTGTTACTGTTTGTCACATTTGTTACATTGTAATACTATATTTAGATTTATTGATTCTTTTTGTTACCAATCTTGATCTAAGTTACTATTTTTTTTGTGCGAACCCTTCTAGAGTGGAATGAGGCGACTCTTTTGAATCCCAGGTAGTGGAGATTTTTCACCAGCTAGAGTTTTTGCGTCTTTTTTCGTGAAACAATAGCGAGGTACATAAATCAAGGAATTCACTCAAGTTAGCTGCATGAACTATTCAAACCAGTTACCCCGGGGGCTACCCCCAAGTTTTTAGCCGTCACAAATCATGACAGTTCAACCAAATAAACGCACGATGATCGTTCGACCTACTTTTCAATCATTTTATTGAAGCAGTACTTATTAAAATAAAAAATTTTGTTACTGTTTGATGGAGTGTGACTTAGTTACAACAATGAACAAGTATGCTATCCGCGGATTACTCCACAACTGAACTAATTTTGTCTGAAAATTGAAATCGTAAAGTGTGTACGTGTGAAAGTATTTATAAAAAAGTTAAATCAACAAAGTGTGTTTTCAAGCGGAATTATTTACAGTTTTAACTTTTGAATGAGACGATTTTTTATTGGAATAGGAACGACTAAAAGAAACAATATTGCTATGTCAGTCGAGAAAAATTTAAATCTTGTCATTAAACCTGCCTTAGGTTGGCGATTATTAAAAACAAACAAGTCGCTATTCTTCATAAAAAACTGCAAGAATAGCCGAACAAGTCCCAATAAGTCTTCCTTGAAGCTGTCGAATATTCTCCACACTTCTTGCACTGTATTTTCTCTGATCCCTAACCACATAAGTGACTTCTTTACGCAGCTGTTGAATTAGATTACCAAACTCTTCACTGAAAGGAACTTCAGCTTCTTTCAGGTTCGATACTCTCTTGTTGAAGTCGCTCTTTCTATTGCTCAATGCACCGCGCTGTTTTGCTGTTGAAAGAGAACAATTTTTCATTAACAGTGTGATAAAATTGTACATTCGTGACATTCGAATGGCTGCATATAAACCGAGTAAAGATGTTTGAAACGCATCTAACAAAAGTCAAACGCATTGACATCCATTGGATCGGTATAATGTACACCCAACACTCTTAAAATCACGTTGCTATACCTCCCAACTCAAATACGTTTTCCGATTGGGGGAGAATGTGTCACGTGTCGTGGGTTAAAACTCAATAAACCCCTAGGGCGAACAAAAAGCACTTTTGACTCTCACGTGATCAGTTCGCGCACCTTGAAACCGCGGTACATTTGTTTTGCCAGCTGGCATCAAGCAAATAAATTTCTCTCTTTTTTTTCTTTCTGTCTGTTTTTTTTTTTTTTTTTTGCGTGTTTGTGGACGGGTGGGGGACATTGAGGGTCTCACTGTTTCCCCTTGGGGCTAGTCAATAAGTTCTTACTGTCTCACCAGGTATGTTCAACACGTGGCTTTTTCTCAAAAAAAATAAAAATGTGATTAATTTTTTTTATCGAAGAAGACTATAAACAAACTAGAATCATTTTGATACACCTTTAGATCCAACAATGACTGCAGGTATCATATTTGACGGCGGTAGTTTCACGAACATATATCCCAGGAAGCTTAGACCTTGTTTATAATCAGTTTTCACCAGTACTACCGATTTTCGCATAATCCATTCACAGCTCAATAAAAGCGTATTCGGCGGCTGTGGTTACTACACTTATGAATTGCATCTGGGTTAATATTAGTTCATTTACACGAAACCTAATGGGAAATCTTTATTATCAATTTTATACACAGCCCAGTCTTTTGACGCAATACAGGTCAGTGCCGTTAAAAACACAAATACAATGTCTTAGTTGGTTGCATTTAACACCTAGTTCTTCCGAATAGGATTCAAATCCACGTCCTTTGCAATACAGATTTAAATACTTTGCCAACTGAGTTATGGAACTACGAAAGCCGATTACAAATAATTGAGAAGAAAATGCTTGGACACAAGATTGTGGAGAAAGCAACCAGACGGTTCCCAATAATATAAGAAAACTTTGCGGTGACTAAATGTGATGGCCTGGAGCAAACAATGCATGAGACTTACGTACCAAGTAACTGCTTGACAGCTCGTATATACGGGACACCCAAGTTGGTTCTATTTACCGTACGTAAATCCTCGGACCAGTCCTTGATTATCTGTAGCACGACCTGTAGTTCAGACCTCTGTTGTTCCATTGTTTTCAACATTCCATTCAAATCATCTATTCTCTTTCGCAATGCTTGCTGGTCACTGAAGATCTTTTTAACAGGCATGCGCTTTTGCTCTTCACCGCTGGAACCTTCGCCGTCACTGAGTCCACTATCTGACGAAGATGCAGCAGGTATTTTCTTTCCTGACGGTATAGAAAAAAATACGAGAACCGATTGCAAAATGCCGAGAGAATGGTACGTTTACAGAACATGAACAAGACGAACTCACAATGACATCAAACACACTAGTAGACAAAGATAAACTACAGTATACAGACCTCACTGACGTATTCAACATGACGAAAGCAAACACATGCATGGACACATACATTACCCGCCACGAACACGACAACAGAACAAACAAATGCACTCCACTAACGGTGGACAAACTGCAAAATAAGACTTGCTGGGTGTGTTAGACACCGGGAAAATGTTTTCCGACTCAGTGGGGGACACCGGTGGGAGCGGGGGAAGGAGTAACAGTTTTTGAGAGCTGGAAATTGACTGGCAAACAATTTTAGACAAAAATGTTTCCGACAAAGAAAATAAGCGCCTACTGTGCTCACCCCACTGTTTGACTGGAAAATTAGAATCGCAAATTGTGCTTGTCACCGAAACCACAACGTTAGCATGACGTCAAAGTAAACCAAATTAAAGGGACAGTGTCATAGCTGTTAGGGTGCTTCTTAATAAGTATGACGATCGACAGCTTGCTATAAACTTTCTTTATTATCGCTTGTGGTGCAATGGGAGAAACGACAAAAGTTGTGGAAGCAAAGAAATATCAATTAAATAAAAACAAAATCTGAAAGATTCAATGGCAATTTTGAGTTCTTGACATGCTGTCACAGATCAAATTCGATGAATTGTAATCCATTTCTCTCCTTATAATCCGTTACTGCTTCCACGAAATACTCTTTTATCCATTTTACTTGCAAACGTTAACGTGATTTGGCAAAATATGGAAATTAGGAAAGAAAGAGTTTGATAATATAATTACCCGGAACACCCTGCCTTTAATTTGACGGAAAACCCTGTTGCCACTACCATTATTAGAAGAGCGACACTGGTTGAAAAAAATTTCATTTGTTAACTCAAAACAAATTTCAGATGCAAATATTTGACTGAAAATTCAACATTCTTCAGTTCTCTTAAACAGGATCTATAATTTCATTATTCCACTCCTAAAAAGGCTCTGATATATCTGTCGAGATAATGACATGCACCAATTGACAGGGAGAAGGAAGGGCTCAGTCGAGCTGATAATCAGCTGTCCATCAAAATATAAGCATACCTTTGGAAGATGTAACTTTGCTCTTTTTTGGTGTGGTCGCATACTTAACCCCCATAGCTGCAGATCTGGAGCTGTTGGGATATTTCAAAATGCCCTTCCTTGCAGGGGACTGAATTTGAGACCTCCCTCCAATGCGATCTTTTATGATTATGTCTCCAAACATTTCAGGGACCTTCTTGCGACGGGGCTGTCTTGAAGGTGTACCAATGAATCCTCGAGAATATTGCGCTCTGTACGGCGAAAACTGTTTCTTGATACTATTTGACGGGACAAAACTGGCACACTTTTCAGGGGAGCTGTCAGGGCTTCTTTCGCTTTGTTCTACCGTGCCCGGTATTCTTTTCGATATTCGGGTAAATGTCTTGATTCGATCGTTTCGTTTTAGATGCGACTTTAGGTTTATGGGAATCAGTGGCACTGGTGGCATCTCAGGAGCTTTCTCTGTCTTAGAAGGCTCCTTTCTAAGTTCTGTTGTGGATTCGTCCGTTTTCGAATTGGAACCTTCTTCCACAGTTGATGGATCAAAGTCTTGTTCGATACCGCTCTCTTCTTTATCATCTGCTGACGTTGAGCTTTCACAGCGTTCAGACTCATCAGAAACAGAGACATCGTCTTTGACAGTATCGCAGTCCTTTGTGTCACTACACATATGGACAAAGTAAAGCAGGTACAAAGTTTTATTATTCCGATATAGATTTTATTTCGTCGGCATCTTCTCATAGCTTCCTGCTAGGACAATGGCCTTAGACATGGATGGCGCTAGTGGTCTTGTTTGGACAACTACGTATACGTTTTTATTATATGGAGAAGAGTGTTTTACTGGGAACTAAACCACTCGTAGATTCCATACGCCACTTCATCNATCTCACTCGTTCGCTTCGCTCACTCGTGAGATATTGTTCTTGCCACGAGAACATAAAATTCATATCTTCTCGCCACCGTGTAATATCCTCTATATATAGCATGTATACGACAAACTTCCGAGATTACGTAGAAATGAGCCAGTGATTTGCCTGTCTTTATCTCGAGGCGTTTTCTAAACTAAAGAGATGTAAAACGTTTTATCATTGTCTCTGTCGAGTTGTAGAAACACTAGAAAAAGTTTGGGAGAACATGGGAAAGCTGCAACTTGAACACAAGCCGTATACTTCTCGTTGTCTTCCCAGACCTTATCTGTGATTTATGGCTCGTTAGAAACAGGGAAAATGTTTTCTGCTTTTTAACTGTAAATAATATATGTGAACTGCGGCGGAAAGAACAGAGAGAAAGTCAAATCCATTTCTATTCATTTAATTGTTTACGTTCCCGCGAATAATTGAATAAACGCAAATGAGGGGAGCTGTCCCCTCATTTTCTCTTGATAAACTGATACTTTAAAAGAAGGATTTTCCTTGCCAATGGGAAATACAAACGTGATTATTGATATTTCTTTAATATATCTAAAAAGTGTAGCACTTGTGCAAAACAGGATGTTTCCTTACCTTTCTGTATCTGAGAGGGTTGAGGATTCCAGTGCTAAACATGATTCAGGGATTAGCTGGTGTTGGTCCACGTCCTTCTCTACGATTTTGTTGTCGACCAAATCATGATTTGGTTGGGTTTCTGTACACTCTCTTGATTCCATCTTGGTCGTCGTCATTTCTGGCTCAGCTTTGAAAATGTTCGATTGTTGCTGGTCTGTTCCCACCACTTTCTTCTAAGTTATCAAGTAGATAGGTAGGTAAGAGAACAAGTAAGTCAGCCAGTCAGTTATGCTCAGTTACTCAGTCAGTCAGTAAGTTATGCTCAGTTACTCAGTCAGTCCGTCAGTCAGTCAGTCAGACAGTCAGTCAGTCAGTCAGTCAGTCAGTCAGACAGTCAGACAGTCAGACAATCAGACAGTCAGTCGGTCAGTCAGTCAATCAGACAGACATAAAGTCAGTAAGCAAGCTAGCAAGCAAAGCTGCCATGTGGTTAGCTAGCTAGCACGCGAGTAGGGAAGTAAATAAGTCAATCAGTCAGTTATGCTCAGTTACTCAGTCCGGGTCAGTCAGTCAGTCAGTTATGCTCAGTTACTCAGTCAGACAGTCAGACCGTCAGTCAGACAGTCAGTCACACAGTCACTCAGTCACTCAGTCACTCACTCAAACAGACATTGAAGTCAGTAAGCAAGCTAGCAAACAAGAAAGCTGCCATGTGGTTAGCTAGCTAGCACGCGAGCAGGGAAGTATATAAATATACATTGAAATAGTACCTGAGAGTTTGGGTCAACATTTTCTTTCTGAATGATGTCAAAGTTGTCCTTCTCCTCTTGTTTTGGTTTGCGAAAGCTGAACAATCTCCGAAGCATGTTTTCACGAATAAGTGAGTCTAGAACGAGATAAACTGTTGTGAAAGAAAAAAGAGAAGGTTTACCAAGAGAGTCATTACAATTAATTGGCTCCCCCAGTGTTAGAAAAAAGGTCATGAACATGGATTCTTCCTTCTCAAAGTTTTTGGGAGAGACGGTGGAATTGAGTTCATTTCAAGGCAACAGCTGTACATTATTTGTGTCTCTGCCTTTTCATTACCAAACAAGAAGACAACCGGGGTTTACCTGGGAATTAGCATTGGTATTAAAATAGTCATAACATTGTGTTTTGTCGAGGTGAGGTAACTTATTATTTTACCTATCCCGTTTATCACTCCGCGTCTGTGAAAGTGTGCATGCGGATAACACGTGTTATCGTAAATCACGCTTATTAATCAATGAAAATATGGCCAAATAGAGTGCTGACGACGCCTTTACTTGAAAAAGAGGAATTTAACAAGAACAAAACGGAGCGCTCACAACAAAACGAATGGTTGGCAATAATTTTTAAGAGACGAGGTGTCGTCATTTCGCGCCAAACCAGCTGGGAACCAGGCTTCAGCCGACACACTTCAATGATTGACATTATGAAGCAATAAAACACCTGTTAAGTTCGCATCACCATGCTGTAAAATAAGGAAAATACCGCCCTAGCTGTGGCGGGTACCTTCGGTCTTCTCACTTTGCTTTTGAGAAGAGTTTTAACTTCTTCAACTCGAAGCCGCAAATTTCATGGAATTGTTTTGTTCACCGCTAGTTTGTAAACAGTTGGTTGATTTAGGGGGAGTTTCTATGAGTTTAACTGCGCGATTGAAAACACCTCACATCACTCGTCTGTTTCAGTTTGTTGTTGTCTTGGTAAAAATGAAAATTGAGGGCGGGATTTCTACTGTTCGGTTCATCCAACGTTAATAGTGTCGCGATGGCGGGGATACTCATTGCAATCAATGTCGTAAACTGTAGTCCTCTACCCATGAACCAATGTAAGACTTCAAACGTTTAAAGATTTAAGAGCCTTTTGTGATACTCCGCAGGAAAGCACTTCAACCGAAACATCAAAAGAGCTAGCAGGCTTGTAATCACTTTTTTTTTCACTGCTAGAAAGATTGCTGATTAAAAAGTTTAACATAATTTAAATCGATGTCGAGAAAGAAAATTACCAATGAATGCAAAAGTATAATAAATTATAAAGAGGAGAGTCTATATGCAGGCATTGTAAGGCAACAAGTGACCACCCGTATAATAATGTTGTACGGGTCGCTTCAAGGTTCTTGGGGTTTCTGTTTTCTTGTAACCGAATTAACTCAAATAACAGGTTTTCAATCTGCCCAATGGTGGAGAAAATAATTTTCTAGGTGTACCAAAAAGAAACTCCATGTTATGTGAAGTTTACTGATTCAGTGCAGTAAAGCATGAAACTTTTAAAGGGACTTGCAATTTTCCAATAACCCGTTAGAAGACATTTTACTGGTTATAGCTGTCATACACTGGACACATTATGTCGGTTTGGTTGTGAGACAGAAAGCATTGAAGTATGTCCTTACTTACCTCCGTTTGCGTTGCGCTGTTTCCCTGGCTGTGATGATATTTTAACTAAAGACATAACCAGCAAGGAAAGTTGTTTTAACAACTGAGTGTTTAAAAATTCATGTAAATCAGCGAGCGTTGGAAAGATTCCACACGAATCTCAAGTAAACAGTCAAGTCAACCTGCGATGGACAACTTCTCACAGGAAATCTAGTAGACACGGTTCTGGAAATTTTAGCGATGTTAAAGTGAACCTTTACTGTTAATCAGCTGAGTTGTGATAAATGTCTCACGACACCTGTTTGGTCAGGAAACGTGACTTCTCTGGGGCGTGTACAAAGCTATGAAGACCCTCAAACAGATTCCACGCCTATGGCAATAAGATCACGTGTGGATTGTCCTCACCCTAAAAACAAATACTTCAGTTTTCCACACGGAGAAGTTTACTATTCTTACGTTACAGTTTATAACGCAAACAAAACTAAAGAAACAATTTCGTTCCGCGTGGTTTACGTTTGAAAGATTCGGGACTTGATTCTGTTTCAGGAAAAGTTGTAAAGTTTATTTTGAGAGTTCAGTAAAGCGGGCGGTGGGAGTAAATTGAGTCACTTAACCTTCTACTGTGAACTCTGTTGGACGCAGGGGGATTAGAGGAATTAGCGAGAAACGTAGCACGAGCTGTCAAAACTAATGACAGTTTAAGCACGCAAGAACAGGGTGGAACGACGCCGATTTTCAATTGAAACTTCAGGGTGAGACTGGCTGGCCTTGTTAGATTCCATTGTAAAAAAAAGCGTTCGGTTTCATAAGTCAGAAAAACAAATCACATCGTATGAATCCTTAAATGGCGTACTGAAGAGTTAGAAGTAGCAAACTACATTTATTTAGTAACAAAACATATTTTATAATAACGAGGAATGTAATTGCCACTTACATATGCTTATAGCTTCTCAATTTTGGGACGTTTTGCTTAATGTATAAAAAAGAAGTAATCACCTATTTCATTTATTCGGTTAATGCGAGTTACCCGGCTGGAAAAAAGAGGCATCTACAAAAACAACACTGCAGACTGAAAAGTGTTGTAATAATAACGGTGACCTGATCTTGTCACCAAACTTGCACCAAAGCTATAAGATGAGCCTCCTCTAGGCGTGCCGCTAGCTGGGACGCAGCGCGATAAACGGTGCGTGAAAAAAAGGAGAGAGCAAAGGGCTTGATGCGAGGAACCTTCCCTCGCTGCTCTTCACTCACATTATTTTCGCGCACCGTTTTCCGTGCTGCGTCCCAACTAACGGAATGCGTGGAAGAGGCTAAGCTATGTTAAGTTGGTGGCCCTTTTATGTCATAGACACACTCTCTCGTTTGGTGCTATAAGAAAATGCAATCAAAGTTATAAAGATAATTTATTTCTCAATTACAAGTACCGGCATAAACAATACAAGCAGACATGTACAATCTAGCTCGTTCCTAGAGCATGCGTGTTATCGTCAGTGCTGACCATCCTCGTTCCCAGAGCTGCATCACCAGCACTGACAGACCTTTTGAAAGCTGAAATCTGGTTACGGTTATCGTTCACTGTGTGTTCTGTGTCGTATGTGTGTGCTTGCCTGTGTGTATAGACCTAAACTTGTAAAACTGACTACCTGTCGTCTTTAAGTCTGTAGTCATTTCAGGTAGCCAGGCCCCCCTCTCTTTTTTAAAAATAATTGATATAAAAATATCTGTATTTGGACCGAATGGGGAAAATAAATCTTGTATGTAAAGCTTGTTGATCAAAACATATGAATACCAAATCATGTATCTGCATAGCCACGTTCTCTTCGTGCACAGGCCCCGCCGACTAAGAAAGGCAAGTGTCTCTGGGGACGTGAATGAGTGCTGATTAAAAAATTTTGTACGATTCTGAATGTGTAGGGAGTCAAATACGCGTTATTCCGTTTTTTTCCTAAACATACACAGTTTTTGGTTTGTCTCTTCTCTTATCAGATAGGAAGCCGGTGAACAAAAAGGCAAGGATTGAAGAATATTGTATAGCAGGAATTTGATTTAACAGGCGGCAATCAACAAAGAGGTTGCTAAGCAAAGTAGTCTGATATCTCTATGTAGGTGTTATGACTGAACAATAACAACCGGATCGATCGGTTTGAAATTTACTGATTAACTTACAGCCACCTGTACGGTTCAATATAAACTGAAGACCACATATTGAGACCCCCCGGATTGAACGAAAACCACTATGAACGTTCCGTGAACGGCTACTATCAGGTCATGTGACTGTTCTTCTGTCGGTGCTTCTGCGAAAGTGCATTCCTGTGGTTTATCACAGTGTTGCCATCTTTACTGTATTATCACTGTAGGCTTTATGATACCGCTTAACATTTGTCGACACGACGTTTTTCTTTTTCTGTTAATCATTACCTATAATAGCGAAAATATCTTAAATTTTTGTTTTCAGTTGCAGACACTAAATTAAGCAGATACTAAATTAAGCGGGCTTTTTTGTTATTCCCATTGATACGGCATGCATGCTACCACATAATTTCCTCTTTTGTCGAATATAAGAGATTTTGTGGTTTCCAAATGTTGGGAATATTTTTCGCTGCATTAAGCAGCACTTAAAATTCACGAGTATCCGACAAGAGGGTATTCTACGCAGCAGAACTCCGTTATTTGAGACCTTTTAAAAACATTTTGAAATAATCTTCCAAAGACTCCATCGGCGAAGATGAAGGCCCGCGTGGCTCACTATGGGTACACTAAGGAGGCAGTTCTTCATAGAAATGAAACGTACAGGCAGAATTTAGAATCTTGTAGTCCTAGAAAACAGCTGTGTTTCTGCGGCGTGTCTACCTGAGAGGGAAGTCTAAAGAGCTAAGAAAGAGAGACTTTGGTTCGCTTAGGTTAGAGCTGAACATTTACTCTCCTTCCGATGGACTTAAAGTATAAAGAAAAACTTAGCAATTACACACACATAACCTGAAATCTCTTAACTTGATGTTGTAATTACATTCTAAACGTAACAGGGAGGGACAGATCTCTCATAGTGCAAGCTTTGTCGGGTGCAGCATTACCTATTAAAAACACTTTGTTGTGGAATATGCCATCGCCACATTTGACAGATGTTGTTTTCACTCGTTGTCAATAAAAGACTAATGAGCTGATATTGTAAGTTATGTGCAGTGGCAGAGTGGTGTTTGTTCCTGTTGTTTCACGGCTATTAAAAGTACTATACATCCCCTGTGAGTGATATTATCCATTTCTTTGCAGTGGATCAATTTTTCCCTAGTAACTGTGAGCTGGTTTTTCTGTCGGGCTTCAATACACGATTCTAGTAGCAATCTAGTGAGAGGAATGCAGCTTATACCCCGAGGCTTCACACTGCTCACCCGCTGGCCGTTGGTGTCTTTTGTTATGCGAAGAGAAAAAAGCACCAACGATCAATACCTGCGATTTAGCAGTTAATGAGCCGTCACTATCATATTAGGAGAATTATAGTAATAATACTTCTAATTAAAAATCTTAGTTCTAGAGAGATCCATCAAAAGGCAAGGCTAGAGTTCCCCTCCATTACTACAAAATATCTTTTCAAGTCAAGGATCCTATCATTTCGATTCTCTATTAAATGGGAAATTATACTGATATGTCTTATTAACGCTAATTATTGTATGATACATTTCAGTTTTAATAACGCTCTCCTTGGCGAGAGAAAGTAAGGCCAAGCCGGTGAAAGAAGTGAAAATCTAAATTTTAGATCCGTCTCGTGCTTTTTACGCGTAACTCGTAGTTCTTTGGGTATGATAAATATTTAGGATGAACAAAACTAAATAAATTGTTCTTCCCGTTTGGGAGTTGGCAGCGAGAGATATGAGAAAAACAGGGCCGGAAAGGTCCTCAATAGCCCTTTTCACGGTTACCTTTGCTCATTTGCATTACAATAAAATCAAGCATGTATGTGAGGCAATTTCGGGCTATTTTGTAGTTTTAGCCCGAAATTGCCTCACATTCACGTTGGATTACATTGTAATGCAAATGAGAAAAATTAACCGTGATAAGGGCTATTGCTCAGCAGCTTCGTGGCCTATTCTGCCATCCCGTGCTTGGGAACAGTAGTAGATCCAGACCTCTATTAAAGGCGGCCGCCCCAAATTAACCTTGCTGTTCCTTCGGTCTTTAAATTAAGGAAAGGTCCAACATCTCGTGGCCCTTCTGCTGGACATTAAGTATTTTCCCCCAATAAGTACTGGCTTGGGTTTCAGGTTTCTCTCGGGCCCTTCCCTAGATCCAAAACTAGCTAAAACTGAGGACCGGGTCCTCTGTGTATGTGCAGGTTAGCTACTGATCAATCTACCAGACGGATCAGGAGATACACAATGTATTGCAAAATAGAAATGAGTTGATCGGTTTCAATCCAATTTCGCCCAAGAAAATACCAATCAGATTCAGAGTGTGTTTTTTAATTGAGCGTAAAAGAAATTTATCCTGTCTTAAATTAGCTTTATTTCCATTCCAGATTAAATACAAAATATGGATGATACTTTGTCTTAGACATTCAAAAAATAAACGGTGAAAAGCTTTCAAAATTGTTTGTTCCTCGGCTTTGTTTTAACAGCCTTCAAGTTTCACTTGAATAGCGGCAAAAATGAAAAAAACAAAAACAAAACAAAACAAACAAAAAATACAATATACAACCTTTAACCTGAACTTCAGTGTTCCCCTCTAGCCAGATGTAATCACTCACTCCCAGGGAAGACGTCGCTTTATCTCATCTTTTCTCGGGAGTAAGCGACCAGAAAAGACGACTTAATACTTACCGGTAACCCTTTAAACTGAGAAAAAAACGGTTGATGTTAATTCATATCGTACCTCCAAAAGTAAACCAACCAGGCAGGCTTGCTAAAGGCAAATGTCTGTAAATTAAAAGTGACAAAGTTATTTGACAAAATTGTCACGTACCCGCAGGTGGCCGCGAAAAGAAGAACAGGTGATAAGTTAAAAATAAAAACACAAAACAAATCCAAAGCCAAATTGGAAACTAGCTTAGGTACACCCACTAATGCAAACTTATTGTACCTCCGGCTAAAGCACTTGGATGAAGAATTTTAATAGCTATAATTAATTCTATTTAAATATAATAGATCTGACCATATCCTCGGTTGAAAATTTTTAACTTCCAAGAAATAAATGAGTTTGCAAATTGTAATAGAAGGAGGTCTTCCAGGGATTTGTGTTAGGAATTCACTTTGCCGGCTACTGTCTAATTGCCTTCACCACTAACTGGGCCGGTTTGCATGTTATGTTTCGCGGTATTCCAGATATAATACTGTTTCCACTGTGCCTATAAGTTCACCGAGACATTGCTTTATATCCTCGATTCTTGCGATGTAATCACTTTCATCCCTGGCGATAGAGTTGACCAAATTCTGTAGATTTTTGGAGCAATCCGTGATTTTTTTGTGTCCCGATACGTAGTTCTCACAAAGGCGCTGCAATGTTCTGTTAAAACTACCATGCTCGTTATTAAGCTGAGGTCTTATCTTTCCACACAGTTCGCGAACAGGTCGAATGCAAGGTACTTCATGACCGTAACGGTCCACTCTTCCAAAAGCTTCACTAAGTTTCTTCACAGCCTGACCAATCGCCTCCAAGTCTCTTTTTTGGCGTTGTTTCCTCGTACTCGGATCGTCGCTTTCTGATTTTGCTCTTTTGCGCCAGTTTTTGTTGCCATTCGCGTTGTTGCTTTCTTGTATTTCCATCGCTATTTTATTGACATTTTCAAGACTCTTCCACGTTCGACGCAAACTGCCTCGCTGTGAACGAGCGTCCTGTTTATAGCTCATTGCAAACAAATTTTGGCTTTCGTCCAAACGTTTTTTAGGGTGTGGATTCAAACCAAACTTAGATGTTAAGTTTAACGTAAGGAAATCATGGAAAAGCAATTTAGCCAAATATAAACCCTGATCTCATATCATCTGACCTAACCTGGATGTACGGGACGTGACGCATGCCGATCACTTACGACGGGAAAACGATGACTGACGAGCTCTTCCTTCCTTGTCCCGTTCTTTATTATACATTATTATTATTATTATTATTATTATTATTATTATTATTATTATTGTTATTATTATTTACTGATTTTTTAAAAAAACGTTTTAAATCACAAGGTTTAAAAATAAGTTCCTTGCGTCCAACATTGCTAGCAACCGCAGAATTTCGCAATGGTTGACCGCATCCTGTTGAACCAGCTAAAAACTTTATGTTGAACAATAATAACTTGGTAACAAAAGGTTTTTGCACTTCTTCACATTCGAAACTGATTGGCCTTTATATATTTAGGCAAGGTGTGGAAACACAAAGTTCCGGGTAGATACAGAAAAAAGCTGCCTTCCTGCGATAGGTTCACAAAGGGATAACCTGAGGCTATATTTAGACAGATGCTCTCAAGGCCGGCGCAGTTTCGAAAGACTCCTATTAACCCGCTGTCATGTACATCAACAGTAGTTGCGTCAACTACTAAACTCTAGATTTTTACCCGGTGTGTTTTTAAACCTGGATGAAAAAACGAGTGCAGATTGGAGAGATTTTCAAGTCTGCTCGGATAAATATGAGGTTTAATAAATTCAAAAGAAGTAAACTTATCAAATACTTCCTTTATTTACAGGTCAATATTATAATGGAACCCCGCTCCAACATAACAGGAACTGAATCCGATCTGTGTTCCTTGCTTCCGCCCCAATTCGTTGCCTTTCAATACCAACTCGAGGGCCGGTTCCGCGAATAAATGCGGTCAAGGGCATGACAAATGAGTGTGACGTATATAGTCCCATTCAACAATTTCCCAACTTCCGGTCTCAGATCAAAAGCCCTTATTGGGTTTTCACTGGGTTGGTTTACGTACACTCAAGTGAATATGAATTTTATCGAATTTAGGTCGCTGTTTCGAATTAGCCTGCGTTGCAGACGGAAATGTCGAATTTGAGAAACGGAGAAACAGAGAAACAGTCACGCAGACGTTGTTGAAGGAAACAAAAGAACTTCCCACTTTCGTATTTATTCTGCACTCTTAAACAGTTTATCACTTACAATTCAAGTCGCTCTTCTCCGGTCAGTTTATGAATTCTCTCCTATCTGGTAGAAACTTGGCGTCGTTTTACAAATTCTTTTTCACTATTCTCTCGGGGCTTGAATTAATCACCAATAGGCTGGGTCAAATCAGTCGCTAAAATAGAGGAAAAAAATAGACGACCCGGCTCGCTTCTGGGAAGAAGTGGAATCCTCCTTGGCTATTGAACGGCAGTAAAACACACATTTTGACTTTCGCATGTATTTTAAGTACCTTAAATCAAGTTAAAAATCATTTTCCTCGTATTAGAGTAGCAAGAGTACACAGAGCAAGTTGTCACGTTCATTACCCAGATTACCACGAGTCTGCGTCAAAAGCAACGTCATAAAGATTCTCCATTACGCAAAGCGTGGTCTCCCTTCCCGGGGTCTCCCTCGCAGCCCTTATAGGATCGGGTCGCACTTGAGACAAAGGTTTGTTTTCCATTATAGACCACGTGATATTCTCGAGAGAATTGTTCTTTTATCCATCTAAAAATCATTCATAAAACTTGAAAGTTAGGATAATCAAGAGCATCATCACAACTTATAGTCTGAATTGGGGCAACAAACCGCCCAAGCTAAAAAGGCCTATTAAGGTCCTCACAAAACGGTTTTTATGACTGCAGAAGTTAAATTTTAACATGGTTTTCCTTTCACTGAAACAGAAATCGCTAATTAATCAAAGTCATTTGAATGTTTTTATGCTTGTGAACCAATCAGCAATTATCCAAGTCATAGTCATGACGTCTTTCACTTTCTTCATCATAATTACAACATTCCAAAGCATCCATTTCATTCGTTTAACTGAATGGGAGCCCCTTCTGGTACCCTAATGAACTTACCCTTCACCGCTGTGTACAGCAATTAAAAGCATGATTCACACACTTAATTTGTTCAAAGTTGTTTTATATTTCACAGTTGCTGATAACATAACATAACATTATATTTGTGTGAAGTATAAATGAGACACATTCTGATAGAATATCTCTTATAAATACCCTGACATAATTGACTATCCTAATGTTAAACGGAATAAATAAATCCTGTTTTTTATGTTGCCTATGTAAAAAGTGTACAAGGCAGCAAACAGTATTGACTTTCTTTATCTCATGTTTGAGTTTAATGCCATGTCAACAGGCTAGTTTGAACCATTACTTAACTCTTAGACTGAGAAAAAAAAAAGACTTTACCACAATAATGTTCGTATACATGGGCAAGGTATAGAACAAAACATTTCATTCTCCTAAGCATTCCACAAGACTGAATTCCCAATTTTGGGTGAAGTTCAGTTTTTCTTAGAATAACCGAACCTAAATTAACCAAAGCTGAAAATTAACTGCAAAGAATTAACCACTATAACTTACTGTACAGAAGAGAAATCACTCTAAAGAGTCAAATTTCTAATACTACTTTAAAATAGGCAAAACTTCTGTTTTAACATTCAATTCATAACTGTTACATATTAATTTGCTTAGTCAAACCTAAGGAAAAATTAAAGGAAATAAATATTAAAAACCATTGGGTCCTATATTCTAAAATTCTTGAGTCACTCCCCAGGGAGGAATTGGATGTAAATTCTTCAATAAATAACATTAAATTTCCCCAACTAAATTTGACTCTTTAGATCTCTTTCACAGTGTAAATTAATCATTATTGACAATTATTATAATTGTAAAATATTGTAAAATGTTGTCATTTTAATGTAATGTCAGGAGAAACTTCACCAATAAATAAATTATTTTATTACTCAAAGAAAAGCTTTAGCTGCTATTTACATACTGTAACTCAGAACTGTTTTGAATCTTAAAATTAAAATATTTTCCTAAAACTATTTCAAGGTGCAGAAGTCGATCACTAGTGGATAGCCAAATACATTTTTTATAGCATTAGAAACTTTGTGTGAGAATTTGACAATTGAGCAGAATTGAACAATTTTTTTTAAAAAAGAAAGTCTTTAAAACAATGACTTTGCTTCTGCTTCACTGAATGAGTTGGTATACACATAAAACTATTTCAAAAATTAAGTTTGTTATTTTTCTCAGAAAAAGTTATCCATACCTTTGAACAATATTGCCCTCTCCACTTTTGACAAATACAAGTCAATCTTCCAACCTTTACTCCCTTAATAACTGAACAATTCTCATGAACATAATTTAATCGACCCTATAAAATGATTTGATAAGAAACTGTAATAAATTATTAATCCTCATATTAAAAATGGTCAAAAATGTTTTCACCCTTTTCTTTTCACACAATCCTCTGATAAGTTAAGCATATGCAAGCTGACTTCATTGCTTTAATGAGTTCTGTTTGGTTAGAAAATTTAGCAACGTTACCATGTTTAGAGATTCAAATATATCGCAGTTAAGTTCAGATTTAACAGACTGTAGATATTAGTACAGTTTAAAAGCACTGTTACAGTAGCTGCAAGTCAGTTTTTGTTCTCAAGTCTTATGTTTTAAACTTCCTCTGAGAGTACACAAAAGTGTAATAGTCTGGCTTCAAGTGAGATGGTTTAGTTCGTAGTATACCTGTAATTTCTTGTCACTATCATAGGCTTGCCAAACTTCAGAACAGTACATCAAAATAGAAAGTGATACTACATAACAGTAGAATCAGGCCAGTTAATTTCATACTAGTCTGACATCATCAGTCTGACTCATAAGAAGTCTTTACCCTTGCAGCTTGACGTCACCAACCCTGTTGGTACAGAAGATATTTCTTCATTGGAATTGGTATCGGAAGCTTGTCTACATTGCCTTTGGTTAGGTTCTCTTTTCCAACTGATTTACGTATGGTACGTCTGCAGAGGTCCATCAATGGTTGAGGTTCAGCTGTTAATCAAGAGGAAAGAAAGATGAGTATAATTGTCACAGAGTAGTTCATATTAGTAGATTGATAAGACCACATGTAAGTACAACTATATTTAATGAGGAAAATACCCTTTTAGATTGTGTGTGCTAAAAGCATGTGTTTCTATAATTAAATACCAAAAATGGTGTAATTTGAGAGACAATTATTATACTTCGATGACCACAACAAACACTTTCCACTCAGTATTTTTTTAAGAACAGAGAAAACATTCTCTTTGCATTTGTCAGGTCAGAAAAATACGAAAGTGGTTTTCAAAGCAGCCTTGAAACAGCTGGTGGGATTCCTTTGAAAAGATCTGAATCAGGATTTACATGTAACTTGATCTAAGATCACTCAGGTCCTGCTCCATCAAACCAGGCAGTAATGTCCAGTCTCAAGTAGATTCATTATTCCTTTGATGCACCATGATCTGAGTGATCTTGGATCATAAAGCTTCATCAAGATCTTCCCAAAGGAATACACCCTAACACACCCGATGTATCATGGCATATTTTACAAATTATACATAATCCAATCTTGTCTAATTTAAGCTGAGCATTTCAAACTATTTTTTTCCTGCTGATTACATCAAAGCTAACGATTTAATCCAGGTGGATGTGATAAAATTTTTTATTAGCTGGTTGGCCTACATTGACCTTTTTTCCAAAAATTACGTCAATGCTGCTCTTAATTTAGGACTCAGTTTGCTACTCAATACAAGTAAAGGACTCTCAAAATTGCAAACCAATTTTCTTCAAAACATAGCAACAGGTGTCCTGAATTGAAATACGAACAAGTTCCCTAGTTACCATATATTGTCTACAAGTATGTCTTACTTTTGTTCGATTTTATGGCCAAAAAAAAAATCTTTCGAATAAAATTCCCCTTAAATGTCGATCCTGGTTATTCTTGTTAACTAATTTTTAACAAAAGTATTAAACTCTTTAATTCAACAAAAAAGTCCTACTAAAGGAGAATTTAATCATTTTCTCTAATCAGTACCAGAAGTTAACCTATATTGTTGTTGTTTAGGAAACTATTTCCCAAGATTTAACAAAAATTGAAAAAAGAAAGGAAGAAAATTCAGACAATTTTAACAAAACATACAATATCCATCATATTTCTCCTTGTGTGTCACTATTACTTCAACCATTTAAAATTTTCTTTTTCTTACATCAATGAAATATTTTCCCCATGACAAGGACTGTTTTGACCTCTCTGGTAAGAGTGAATCATAAACATCTTGTTTTAAAGCTCAATGATGAATCAGTCTGTCTCATGGAAAGTTGAATTCATTAGGTTGGTCAAATGTAAATGGTTCCCTTGCATTTGAATGGTGTGTGGCACACGCTTTTAACATTCTCTACATGCAACAGGTGGCTTGGCACGCGCCACGCTCTTTGCACCGAAATAGCTTCTTTGTGATCTTATTGTCTCTTTGTTTGCACCCAGCTTTAGAGATCAAAGTTCTTCAAAAGAGACAATTTTTCAAAGCGTCTGATACAACACAAAGATTGAATTCGATATTACTTAAGAAACGAAATAAAGATCCTGGCGACTTGACAAGTTTTCTTTAGCGGAAATGACGAATAAGGTCCCAAAGGATATAAAAAGTCCCTAACAGCAAATGAATTATTTATTTCCATTCACCAACTGAAACAATGAGAATCGGAAGCGAAGAGTGTGTCTTTATGGCGGCGGAGTTTAAAAGAAAAAACTTGACAAAACAGAAAAAAAGCCGCGGTAAAACTTTCCGCAAAGACATTTCACATCAAGGCATAAACAAAACCAATCAGAACAGGCAAAGAATCAAGTCCGAGCAATTATTAAGGGTCAGCTGGTTATTTCTGAGATTTCAAATTACAAATATAGCATATACAATCTCATTTTCAGTAACTGTTTGTTCATATATCAGAAAGTTTCCAGAACGGATTGCGAAAACAGGAGAAGCAGGAAAAGCGAAACTTTTTGTTTCTTCAGGAACGCCGTTAAGTTGATGAGATCACTTTCCCATGTGACGTAAAGGAAGTGAAATCGCTAGGGAATGAATATTTTAACTCGCGAAACATTGAAAGATATTTCTTAAAATTTTAATACCACCGTGTCTTTAAAATAGGAAAATAAAATAGAATGTGATTTACTAAATTCAAAGAGAGGATAAAACAAGGGACTATTTCGACAACTTTTGCGCCGAGTAGAAGACAATATAACAAGTTAGGTGAACAAAGTGTAAACAAAAGGTTCGCGCTCACGCACGAAACAAAAGACAAGTCACACAGGTAGAATATTTGCCAGCAAAAGTGAAATACTTACGATCTAGTCCTCCGATGTATTTCATGGTAATCTCACAATGTCCCCAGACTGCTGATACTATGGGATAAACACTCTTTCCTTTCATACCGCGGAAAGCGACACCTAAATAGCGTCCATCGTTCGTTTCAAAAGCCATAGTTCCCTCGTCCATGTCCAATATAACGCGAAATTTGTCAGGTACCACAAAGCTATGATCGCTGTCTGACAAAACTGGATACTTGACTGAAGAAACATTCTTTTCGTTGTGGTAAAGTTTGTTTCTTACAATGTCCCATCCCCAGCTTTCTTCATTATTACCAACTAGGGAATGATAGCCCGTACAGTGAAGAAGGGCTTTCGAAGTAGCTACCCCCACTACTGCGTGTGTCCCACGTTGTCGGGTTGACCACTGGATCTCCCAAACATGAAATCCACGACTGTAGGCTTTCTTCCCTCGTATACAGTCCGTGCTTTGTGCCACGGGATGCCTGTGAAATGTGTGAGGGTCGTCTTCTTTGACGAAAATGTTCACCGATCGGTCATTCGGGTTCCAAGCATGTTCTATTAAAACCTCTTCCGGTAGAGCTGGACGATCGAGTAAAATGTCTAGTTTCTCTGGCCTTGCTAAGTCTCTTGCCCGATCTTCATCTTGTAAGACATTAAGAGGTTTAAAAACTCCTTGTCTATTGTCATTGTGGTCGTTTCTTTTTACGGCCGATATTCTTGATCCCATGTCGAGAAAGGGATAATAAAAGAGAGACGTGTAACTTTGATGTAAAGGATCCAACGTGGACGCTTGACACACTCTTCTTAATGCTCCAAGTTCTTTTCTCAAGACGATCGCTTGTTCCGAGTTCTTCTTATCATTCAAACTTTGAACGAGACAAGTTTTTACGTCTTTCTGCGACTGCCAGAAAGTTTTCTAGCGACCCGACTTCTTTCAAAAGGACGATCAATTCAACGAAATCAAAACACGCATGAAATACGTGCCTGCTTGCCCAACTCGATTCACGTAATTTCTCAGCGAGGACACGGTTGGTCTTTACCAAAACAGCGGTTTAGTTTTGGTTAAATTCTTCAATTTGACAATCTTAACTTACCAACTCTTCACAGAAATGAATGAGAGTGTTCTTCGCGACTTCTTTCAAGCGAGCGATGAATGCCCTTTGTTGTGCTATGAAAAATTTTCCTCTCAATGTTATTTATATCCTTGAACAATGTGAATGAAGAGCTGCACGCATGCGTCATGTCCAGTCAAGCGTGAAAGGTTTTACAACGTGTAATACACGCGCTTTTAGACTACTTCCGGTTTGCGTGAAACTTGCTCTACCGGAAACACGAATTTTGATTTCTGTGACTACTACTAACTTATGAATAAAACTCTTTCAGTTTTTTTGGAATCAGAAAACGAAACTGTTCCAATGTGACATAAAATGAGAATCGAAACGCGTAGTCCGTTAAGAAGTTTCCTTTTTCACTGGAAACCGATGCGAATTCCATTCAACTGTTATCAGCGTCGAAGTTGGTATGGCAATCAATATTTAATCATTCAATAGCAGGGACGACATTGACTCTAAGTGAAACAGGTGATTTTTGCACGAGTTCAATGGAGCATAAGAATAACATGTGTTCTCCCTGTACAACTGTATATCGAAGCCATCAAATTCAGCTCCCATCGAATTTATTTCAAATCTACTAGACTAAATATATTTAGTAACTCGACATTTCATGACTTACATAGTATTTCGTGACACAATTTTTGCTGTATAAAACTGCTAATCCTGCGTTTTTGTTGAACTAATGAGCAAGGCTTAAAAACAGCTAAATTTACTCTCCTAAAGTGAACGCATGAATAAACTACACGCAATAGGTTGACAATCAGCACCACTTCTTTGCACTTACCTTAGTCTTAGCTCATCAGGAACATTATTTTGTTCTAGATTTAAGAACTGTTAAAAAAGCCGGACAAAGACACCCTCGTTCCTCAGAAAGCTAACTTTGATTTAACACAGTCCGAGATCCTCTGATATATATAAGGCTTAAGCCAAAAATAATAATAATAATAATAATGAGTTCCGTGTTTACAAATCTGTTGTCCTTTAAACACGGAAAATAGCCGTTTACTTCCTTTTCAGACCTGGAAGGTGAATCCCCGGACTCGGTGCATCCAGCAACAGATAAACATCCGGTACGCGAGGACGCGCGAAAATGTTCGAGATCGCGAGTGTATGTCGCGTTCACTGCGTGGGCTTCAGCGTGATGCCTTGATCTGACGTCATTCGGGCGTAAGCGGGTGACGTGATGAAATTCCCGCTCGAACGTAAACATTGCGACTTCGAAAAACACTTCAGACTATTTGTTACAACTCCAGAAGACCACTCTCAATTTATATAATAAAGAAATATATTTTTCCCCGGTCTTAAACGTTAGGAAAGAGGATTTTAATGCGTTTGATGTGACCGGCCGAGGTCTTGATCACGAGAAATTCAATGAGACGTGACAGCGCGTGTTTGCCGTCATGTTTGCTAAGCCGATCGTGTTATTGGCAAGGTCACAGTTTCCATGACATTCAAGGACTTACTCGTAACTTCCATGTCAAGAGTTTAATGTGCATCTTGAGTGAATTGCATTTAAAAAACTTACTCGGCAATAGTCGGCTATATAGTTATTTTAAGACAAGGGTGCGTTAAGATTCGTGACTTTTTGTTGCGTGGTAATAAAGTTGATGTATTCAGTATCGGTCATTTCATTTATCGGGTCACGCAGCCAAGCACGTTAAGGGTCGCTTGATTTCAAAATATCATGTGAATACACGTATGCAATCACTGCGAGACCCAGTGCGACAAATTATCATGCAGTGGAGACAATCGGCAACTGGAACAATGTCGGCAGTGAATCTCACGTGTTGCTCTGAAGTTCCGAAGGAGTTGTCACTGCCAATCCAATTGCGTGCTCGGATCGAAAATGAATTTTCTTGTTCTGTTTTAACAATTGTTGTTGTTGTTGTTGTTTCTAATGAACAATAGGCTTTATTAACCGACATGGATACAACGAAAGTTATTTTCTCCATCAACGATCAAGGATTACGCTCTTATCTCTGCCGCCACATTTTATCCCACGTTAAGTCGCAAGATGCAGCTATTTTGAGAGTCGTCATATGAATTGAAATCTGGAAAGTCACGAGCTAGCGAACTTAGAAGAGACAAGGTGAATAATGAGAGAGTAGTGGGATTAGTGCTAAGTCGGAGAAAAGCATATAATAGTAACTAGTGGTGTAATATTCTTTGATTTTAATTTGCACTTCAGATTTTCTGCGGTAAGTATACTTGTAAAAGAAGACTTCCCCTGATTCTACGACCGTCAAGTCCTACGATTGTATCTAGCCTGTTTGTAATGCCGATGCTTCGATTGTTCCAATTCTTCGATTCTGCAAAAAAAAAAAGTCAGCTCACGCTTAAAGAACGAGGTACACTTGTATGTGTTAAGTCGTTCAGATAATAAGAAAAATGGAATTGTAGAACTCGTCTGAAATGCTATCAATCAGAAGAATTGCGGTCGCATTTTGGAAGTCCACTCGACTTTGTGGAGAAAAGCCAAACTTTTTCGTTTTCTTTTACACATAGTACTTATCATATTTATTACACTTTTCTGCACAACGAAAATGGCAAAATGACAGGGTAAAGACTTGAGTAAAACAACAAAATGTGCCACTGATTAATTAATGTCAAACAAGTGATGTTTACTGTGTTTAGCGTGACCAGTGACAATCGAGGTTTTATAATCCGTTATTTTGAACAAATTTTCACCTCCCTCAAGCGCGTGTAGGGTATTCGCACACCATGGGCGACACGCGCGCCTGAAAATGCAACCATACTTTTAGCGCTTAGCCAAGTGCTTAGCTACTGCTGCAGTCTCTTGAAGTTGAGTCGCGCCTCTCTTTTTTATGAGACAATGAAAGGTAAGAGAGTAGACCCCCCCAAATCCCCCCCCCCCCCATCATGGGCATTATTCCCTCGGTAATCCCTTAAAATTGTATGAAGACAAACAATAGACTGCAAGTGTATTGTTTGTCTTCATACATTTTTTTGGCTGATCAGATCTCTTGTAGATCCTACGTTGGCAGCGTTTATCGTATGCGGTCCATTGCAGTTTCTGGTTTCTTAAAATTGTACCCAGTTCTCCCGCGGATAGTGTGATTGTCGCCACGCACCTTGTATCATTTTCGCGCCCGGGCTCCACATTTGCTTCCTGTGTTCGAAAAACTCCTCCAATCACTCCCTGTCACTCGCCTCCTGTCGCTTGAAAAATTACTCCCAAAACAAATTAAGCTTTTCACAAAATCCCTACAAGTCGATCTGCATGACTGACATTTACTGGCATTCAAGGCCTCTCATGAAACGTCAGCTACTTCCGATACGCGACACTCGCGTGGTGACCGCGCACTGTAGATGTACGAGCCAGGTCAAAGACGTAACACATGAAAACTGTGCGCTTAACGACTGTTCATGATAGTTCCTGACGACAGTCGGTGCATTTTAGTTCCTAATGACACTGGGCACATTTTTCACACGTGGGAAACAAAGAACTGGTGACTCTAAACCTGTGGGGTTTTTTGGTTTATTTTTGAGCACAGCAAAATACCCAAACTGACCTACATGTTTATCGATCTTTTTCTTGTCTGTAGATAACTGCTGAGGCATACATTTATCGGCTGTGAAACTTAATTGAGTAGTTACGCGAATGGAATGCAACTCTTTACCTGAATTTCATCGATTTGAATTTTTAAAAAAAAAAAGCGTTTGATAATGTTTGTCAGGGAAAGTTTATGGCTGATCAAAAAAGTTATGGTATAGCAGTGAAGAATGCATCTCTTTTGTAACTGTTCTACAAGGATTGCAAATGCAGCGTTAGACGCAGGTTAGCAGATTGGTTTGATGTTTGTATCTCTGGTGTAAGGCGGGGATGTGGGATGTCAGGGTTCAGCTTTTGATAACGGCGTTTGATTGGGTGGTATATTGAGTCACAGGGAATGGGTAACATGGCACAAAGTGAGTTTTAACTTTAAGTGAATATCTCGAATTTGCCGATGATATCACTAGTATCGCACGTCTTGCTGTCTTACGCACGGTAGCACGTACAATCGAAGGCAAACTACTTGGAATTGAGTGGAGAGAAAAGTGCTGCCCCGAACAATCGCATCAATAAGTGACTCCCATTATTTTGGTCAAGATGCTGATATTGAAATAAGCCTAGGGTCAGGGGGAATTTGAACAATTTTCCTGAAGCGTTGCAGAAACACCGCTCTTTGTATACGTTGTGGATCAAAAACAGTACATCCAAAATTAAGGTTTGTACGGTGCTTGAAATTGAAGTAAAGATAGTCTCACCACCGTCTAGCAGTCAAGCGTCTCTTGATTAAGGCGGGACTTAACCTAAAATTCTGAAAGAAAATCGAAGTTTTGTTTTTTACGGAACTCGAATCTTAAGGTATTGAAGTTTTTTTTTGACAAGCACTGTTACTGTAAGTTTAAAGCTCGTTTTCTCAAAACGAGTTATTTTCGCCTTCTAGAAAAGATATCTTGAGAAGGATTTATTCAATTGAGCTCAAATTTTCAGGATTTGTTGTTTTTGGTACGTTCTGTGGGATACGCATAGACCTTTTCCATCCAGTGCATTCTGTCAAAGTTATGTATTGACACGTATGCTAGAGTTTCTGTATCAGATTTAACTGGTCATCATTTCACGTGCTTTTAACTTTTCAAAAATCTCTATGCTTATCCCAGCAAGCTGTTTGTCTTCTTTTGTAAAA